AACCTTTTCCTTTTGCATGTAATGAATATATACTATATTACCAGAACATAATGGCTGGTGCTGGCGCCGATTATGCAGTGATATCACAACTGCAGATATTCCTTGTGCACTGAATTCTACAGGCCACCATATTAAACTCAAACTTGAAATATCTATACATAGGCCTAGCTTAATAATTTTGCATAATGAACAGGCTACAGTGTTTTCAATTATCATCATCATTATCATTATCATCATAACCATTATTAAAGTTATTATTATAATGATGATAATAATAATAATAATAGCAATGATAATGAAATGATAATCATAATCGTAATCATAATTTTGATAATTATTATGATGTGATGATAACCATCATCATCATTATCATTATCTTCATAATGATTATGATGATTATTGCATGGGAATGCAAATTTAACCTTCTAGAAAAGTCTGGCAATAACGTCCTAAAAATATTGATAAAACCCGTTTTGAGCAACTTTTCGAAAAAAACAGGCCTATAAGGCAAAGAGCGAGTAAGAAAGAATATCACAAGTTCAGGAGAATTTAATCCTATGACTATGAACTCTTATTATAAGCAGTATTGAATACTTACTTATACCCTTCCAGAGATTTGTAAGACTTTAAATCTATTTATGTGTAAACACTAGGTGTTTGTATAAAGGTCGGTCAAACTAAACAATTAGTATGGCCCAGCAAATACAGACAGCTGTATTCTGATTTTTTCTTATGTTGAATACCAAATTCCATTATCCTATTTTGTCTTAAAACTTAGGAAAAATACATAAAAGCTTCGAGCGATTTGTAGGCTTTCAACTCCTCTTGTGTAACTAACTACTCGGCGTGTGTATGAAGTAGAGATAAATATCACCAAAACTAACATCGGGCCAACCATTGGGGCTTTCAGACCAGCCATCTTGGTAAGCTTTCTGGTACCTATAGAATACCTAAGTTTTTCAACATGACGTTTTTAGCAACTAAATCGAGAGATTTGCCCAGCAGTGTTGTGCGCGTGCGCGAAAAAGCCTTTTGTTTTGTTTTGATGACCGTCCTATATACATTATATATACATATGTGTATTCATATATATATTAATATATATTATATATATATATATACATGTATAAATATGTTATACATATTTAGTTATATACAATAAAGTTTGACCGGATGCTATCATCGTATACTTGAGTTTACGCTAATAAAGTTTTCTGACAATTCTTCTGGCTTATAGAAAACCAAGTCGTTTATGTATAACTAAAACAAATATGATGGTTAATGAAGCACTGATTATGCTTTTCCACCTGATAGATTAAGATTAAAATAGTAATGCAAGTATTTCTCTCATTGTTATGAAAGTGTAAATAACTATAATACTTAATATTCTCATGATCTGTGTCTCGCTAGTTGAGTTTCAACCTTTTTGCACTTGTATATATCGTTTCTAAAATTATCTAGCCTTTCTTCTGTATATAAAGTACAGTCTTTTCCATAATATGTTGTAGGGTTTATTGTTCTAATAACGATACTTCATTATATCTATTTTTGTCAAAATCATTTCTCCACTTATTTCCATTGAATTTTCCTCTTTTGTTTTGTGATACTTATATATTTTTCTCACAATATAATGGCGATGATGTATTTATATGGCTTGTCTGAAGAGCACAGCAACGACCTAACATCTTTTTTCAAGAGCTACAAGAAAATATCCTTTCCTACGCCATAATCCCAACAAATTCATGTAAAATTAAGGGCATCAGAGCATAAAACTTAAGGGTATGTCAGTGTATTTCCCCTCTAATCTAGAAACCAAAAACAGTTATGATAAAAGAACCTAAACGTAACCAACAAAAATGAAAAAAGAACCTAAATGTAACCAACAAAAATGAAAAAGGAAAAAACCAACAAAAATGAAAAAGGAACCTAAATGTAACCAACAAAAATGAAAAAGAACCAAATGAAATGAAAAGAACCTAAAGTAACCAACAAAATGAAAAAAGAACCTAAATGTAACAACAAAATGAAAAAGGAACCTAAATGTAACCAACAAAAATGAAAAAGGAACCTAAAACCAACAAAATGAAAAAAGAACCTAAATGTACCAACAAAAATGAAAAAAAACTAAATGTAACAACAAAAATGAAAAAAAATGTAACCAACAAAAATGAAAAAAGAACCTAAATGTAACCAACAAAAATGAAAAAGGAACCTAAACGTAACCAACAAAAATGAAAAAAGAACCTAAATGTAACAACAAAATGAAAAAGAACCTAAATGTAACCAACAAAAATGAAAAAGAACCTAAATGTAACCAACAAAAATGAAAAAGGAACCTAAATGTAACCAACAAAAATGAAAAAAGTAATGTAACCAACAAAACATGAAAAAAGAACCTAAATGTAACCAACAAAATGAAAAAAGAACCTAAATGTAACCAACAAAAATGAAAAAAGAACCTAAATGTAACCAACAAAAATGAAAAAAAGAACCTAAATGTAACCAACAAAAATGAAAAAGGAACCTAAATGTAACCAATACAAATGAAAATAGAACCTAAATGTAACCAACAAAACTTAACAAAGACATAATATTAGTCACAACGAGTTCATACTCACCGCGTTGATCCTGCAGTACTTGAGGTCGAGGTGAGTCAAGACTGGCATAATTGGGAAGGACGAATTGTCGAGGCAGGTGAACGTCGAGGAATGGAGGTCCAGGTTCTCTAAGGTGCCGTTCACCTGGGGGAGAGACACGGTGAGAGAGCTATGAGTTATGGTATTTTCTAGTGGTTATGATATTCTCTGTTTTTCTTTTTTTTTTTTTTTTTTTTTTTTGTCTCTGTCTCGTCTCTCTGTCTGTCTTTGTCTTTTTCTCTGTTTCAGTCTCTCTCTCTCTCTTCTCCTCTCTCTCCCTCTCCTCTCCTCTCCCTCTCTCTCTCTCTCTCTCTCTCTCTCTCTCTCTCTCTCTCTCTCTTTCTCTCTCTCCCTCTCTCTCTCTTCTCTCTCTCTCTCTCTCTCTCTCTCTCCTCTCCTCTCCTCTCTCTCTCTCTCTCTCTCTCCTCTCCCTCCCCCCCTCTCTCTCCCTCCCCCCTCTCTCTCCCTCCCCCCCTCTCTCTCCCTCCCCCTCTCTCTCTCCCTCCCCCTCTCTTCTCTCTCCTCTCTCTCCCCTCCTCTCTCTCTCTCCTCTCCTCTCTCTCTCTCTCTCTCTCTCTCTCTCTCTCTCTCTCTCTCTCTCTCTCTCTCTCTCCCCTCTCTCTCTCTCTCCCCCTCTCTCCCCTCTCCCTCTCCCCCTCTCCTTCCTCTCCCCTCTCTCTCTCTCTCCCTCTCTCCCTCTCTCTCTCGCTCTCACTAAACGGACATTCCATCTTTTACGAAAGTACATTTCCCTCGTCATCTTATCCTGGTGGACCTACCAAGGAGAGGGCTTTGGTCGGAACTGTCTGGTAGTTGTTGTTACCGAGGAACAGCTGTTTCAGGCGGCCAAGTGGTAGCAGAAGGTCCCTCAGCTCGGTCTCGTTGATGGCCCTGTTGCCGGTGAGGTCCAGGACTTCCAAGTTTGGCAGGTAGGACAAGGGCGATCCGTCTGTAGAGAGAGCGGTAAGATGGTGAAAACCCGTCCGTTATCCTAAACCATGTGCTTTTTCGGTTGTTTGCATTTCGTGGGTACATTGTAGAACATAATTCGTCTTGATATAGTAATTTTGTCGAACAGTGGTGTAAATGTCATGATAAAGGATTCCAAAGGTAAGTATTAGTCCGTTTTTAGACATACTCAACAATTTAGAATAAAATATAAATCTCAAATGACAGCACAATCCAACTTACAAAATTCGTCGATATTGCAGTTCTTCAGATAAAGACTGGTGACATTGCTGTTCCTAAGAGGCTTGAAGAGCGTGTCTGGCAAGTAACACAAGGGGTTTTCGCTCAGCACGAAAGTCTCCAGGTAAGGCAATACTGTCTCGTTGTCTCCGACCGGCTGAGGCTGCACAAGATGAAGAGACAGCTGGGGCAAAGTTATTTCGGTATGTTTGCATGTCCTGTTATTGTGTTTTCTAGTAGGCTGTTTGAATGTCATGGTCTCTCTAGTAAGGATTTTCTGTCCGAATGAATTGTTTTGTGGATATTTACATTTTGTGTATAGGGTAAATGTGGTATGTTAGCAGCTACAGATTTTGCTCGGTTTTGAGTTAGAGTCTTCCCAACCTTTTTCATTCTGTGGCCCGTGGCCAATATATAATCTCCATGGCCCCGTTCAGTGACTGTCATCTTTTCATATTCTATTAGTATTTGTTCTGAATAGTGTAATGGTGCCAATGGCTGTAGGACAAGAACACTTTATGGAAAGATTTCAATTTATTGATTTGTGAAAGATAATCATATGTAGGTACTGTAGGTGAGATAAAATTTATTTTAATTTGACGTCAAAAAATTTCATATTGCTCCATAGTACCCAGAAAGTACCCCATGGATCCCTTGGGGGCCATGGCCCCCGAGGTAGGGAATCCCTGGTCTGTATTATCTCATTCTAGTTATAGCTATAGTAAATAGCTAATAAACAGCTAAAACAAGAACATGAAGTCCTGAACCCAAGTATAGTTACCAGGGTCGCTCATCAAAGATTTCCTGTGACCCACCCCCGCTTATCCTAGAAGGGTAGAATTTCACATGCATAAAGTTATATTTTTCTATAGGTCATGTGTTGACTTCCAATCCTTAACTCATAACAAATTTCTGTTACAACGATGAAGTCCGAAGTCTGCATCTGTGGCCATGGAGTTATCAGAAATCAATGCCTCATCATCTTAGAAACGTTTGCCTTTCAAAAATTTCACGGACAGAGAGAGGTGAAAGCCAGATGGTGCAAGGTCGGGAGAATAAGGAGGATGAGGAAGGATGTGCAGCCATAGAAGCACACTTCCATCTGGGCAATGTGAGAGTTGTGAACAGGGGCGTTGTCTTGTAGGAAGCAGAGACCTTTAGTCCACGTTCTGCGCCTCTTGATTTGATAGCCTCCTGGAATTTCTGTAGCAGTGAAACGTAATAAGCTCCTGTAATTGTAAAACCTTTTGCCAATAAATCTATCATCACTACTACATGCTGGTCCTAAAAGACCGTGAACATGACCTATATGTTTTGATAGGTTTGTTGTCACTGGAATTCACAGTGTTATGAAATATATAAATGCTATTTTGGTCCACAGTTGAATGACCAGACAGGACCTTGCCTGTCGAGGGTGTGACACGTGCCTTTTTAGGGCTTGGTTAGTCAACACTTAAAAGAGCTTTGACTGGACTCTTTCCTGATTCTAGAAAGGTATGAGGAGCCTGGGAACTCATTGAGCAGAGGACTTTTGCACATACAGATGGTCATGAATGATTTTGTCCACAGACCCAACGCCAATCTTGACATCTTGGACTAGCTGACGATCAGTAATACAGCGATCTTCCAAAATGTCATCCACTTAACCCTTTACCGGGCACACATTTTAATTACCTCATATATATACATGTATTTAAGTGATCATATATGGTCATTTGGAAAGAGAGAGAGAGAGAGAGAAGGGGGGAAGGGATTCAGGGAAGGCGAGAGAGGGAGGTAGGGATGGAGAGAGAGAGAGAGGGAGATGTATGGTGTCCTCATCACTGGCAGACTGGGGTCGTTCTGGGACATAAGCCTTTTCCACAGATCTCCGAGCACATCTGAACTGACGATGCCAATGGTTAACAACGTCATATGATGGGCATCCTCCCAACAAGTTGCTTTCATTGCATCGAAGGTCTCTTGTGGTGTGCGGGCATTCAAGTATCAAAACCTGATTATTGCTCGTTAATCTCCTTGTACCATTTTCATACCGTAATGCACCTTCACCGCTGTAACAGAAAGCTTCCTGAGTTAAGGAATGGAAATCAATACATAACCTATAATGTGTATCTTTATGCATGTGAAATTATTATCACTAATATATAATCTATATATTATCACTAATAATATAATCTATATAGATGTGTATCTTTATGCATGTGTAATTTCAGCCTCCTTGGATAAGCGGAAGGGAAATATCTAGTGAGCGGTCCTCGTAGCTGCGTGCAAACAATTTGTATTTTTTTTTTCTATTTCCATATCCAGTCCTAACAATCTTCAATATCGTTTTTTTTTATCATAGAATAGTGTAACGTCAAAGCCCGTGGGAAAAAAATACTGTACTCAAGTCACTGATGCACGCTTGGTAAAATGTAAGGGAATATATAGTAAAAAGAATAATTAAATAAATTCAAAATAAAGAATGTTTTACACACACACACACACACACACACACACACACACACACACACACACACCACACACACATATATATATATATATATATATATATATATATATATATATATATATATATATATATATATATATATATTACATATACTCGTATATATCCTTTTTTACTTGTGAGAAGAAATAAACTAAAAAAATAATAAAACATTAGCTATAATATAAAGTCGTACTGATGATACTCAGGAAAAAAAATATATAAAGGTAAAAGGTCTTCAATACGTAACGGTGTCGATAACCGTGAAAGGAAAGATAAAGTGGATTTTACATAACTCGAAATGAAAGCTAAGCACTTCTAGACAGAAAACGCTGAAACCTCATGACGAAGACGATGGAGAGTCATCAGTAGCTCAACATAAAAGATAATACACATAATCTTGAGCTAGGAGTAATAGGGTTAGTGTGAAATAATGTTATTATATTGTTAATTACGGTGATGTTGAGAATAATAGTGTAGTTACAACTGTGTCAAAATTCTGCTCAGGATGACAATGATAATGAACAAATTTTATAATTCTATAATAATGAGCATAACAGTGATTGATCGAATGTAAAAAAAAATGGTAATGATAATCATAAATGCCGCAAAAGCAATAATGGTTATGTAATAACAATAATAGTAGTCTTGATAAAAGCAAGGATAATAATACCAATGATGGTAATAATGACAATAAAAATACCGGTAAAAATAATGATAATAGCGACAGTCATAATAATGATATCAGGAAAATAAATCTTATTATCATGATAATAGTAATGAAGATAATAATAAGAGTTGATAATCAAAACAATAAGATCCATAATATTAGAAATCATAATGGTGATAATAATAATAATGATAACATAAATAGTAATGATGACATTAGTAATGATAATGATAATAGCAATAATAACAATAATGATGATTATAATAATGATAATAATAAATGATGAAGATAATGATAATAATGTATTGATAATTAGTATAATTTTTATTAGTTTCATTATCACTCTCATCATTATTATTATTACAGTTATCATAGAATTAGTAATATTCTTTGTATTATCATTACCATTATTGTTATTTTTATCATTACTATTATTATGTCAATATTCATTTTTTCACCATTATTGTTATTGCTCTCATTTTTGTTATTATCATTATCATTATTATCATTATTTTATTATTATTATTATTACCATTATTTTTTATTATTGTTTTTATGGTAATTATCATCGTTATCACTATTATTATCATCATTATTCTGATTATTTCCAATGTTACCAATATTATCATTATTACTATTATCATTATTATTATTATTGTTGTTATTATTACTATCATTATTATTATTATCATTATTCTTATTATTATTATCGATATTATCATTATCATTATTATTATCATTGTTCTTATTATTATTGTTAGCATTATCATTATTATTATCATCATTATTATTTATTATTATCATTTATCATTATCATTGTCATCATTATTATTATCATTATCATCATCATCATTTTTCTTATCATTATCATTATCAGCATCATTATTTGCTTTATAATCATTTCTTATATCATTATTATTATTTTTGATAACTATTATCATTGTTATTGTTATCAATATCATAATTATCCTTATATTTAGCTTTAGCTTTATCATTATTACCATTGATGTTATTATCACTATTATCATTGCTATTATGATGATGAAGATGATGGTGATGATGATTATGAGGAGGAGGAGGAGGAGGTGGAAAAGGATAATGATAATGATAATATCAATTATAACAATAATAATATTGATACCAACAGCAGTGATGATTAGAATAATACCAATATTAATGATAACATCAAAGAAAATAGTGTCTTTAAGAATTATAATAATGATAAGAATAGTAAGAAAATATATATAAGGATTGAATCTTCATAATAGTAATTATAACAGCAATGACAAAATAATGATAATGATAAAGATGATATTAATAAAAATGTTAATAATGATGATATGATAATGATAACTTCAATAATAATAATGTTTACAATATCATTGATAACAATAATAAAAAGAGTAGTATTGATAATGATATGAGTAATAAAAACTACAATGAAAAGATTATTGGTAATGCTGGTAGTTTTGAGAAATGTCAATAATGAAAGTAATAACATCAATTAAGATAATGATGATACCGATAAGATAATAATTATAACAATAATATTGATAACATCAAGAACAATAATGGTAAAAATTATAATAAGATTATAATGATAATGAAAATAATGATAATAATAATAATGATGATGCTAATAATAATAGTGATAACTAAAGTAATAGTAATAGTCACAATGATAGTAGAAATTATAATAATGATAATGATGAAAACGATAATAGTGATAATTATAATAACAATAATAGTGATAATAATGATAACAATAATCATAAAAAATAACAATACTACTACTACTAATAATAATAACAATAGTAACAATAATAACAATGATAGTGATAATAACAATGATGATGATACTTATGACAATAATGATAAAAAGTATTGATGATAATAATAATAATAATAATAATAATAATAATAGTAAATAATAACATTAACAATAAGAAGAACAAAAACAGTAGCTGCATTGATAATAACAAACATAATAAGAAGAAGAAGAAAAAGAATGATAGTGATGACAATAATAATGATAATGTTAATGATAATAATAACAACAAATATATTAATAACAACTCCAATAATGATAATGACAATAATGATAATGATAATTGTGATAATATGATTATAATGATGATGACAAAATAAATATGATGATAATGATGATAATAATAATAATGATGATGATGATAATAATATGATATGATGATAATAATACGATAACAATAATGATAATAATATTAATAATGATAATAAGGACAATAATAATAACAATAATGATAATAATAACAATAACAATAATGACAATGATAATAATGAAGATGATAATGATAGCAATAATGAGGATAATAATATGAATTTTTATAATGATGTAATGATTAATCATTAAGATACAAGTAAAGATAAGAATAAAAACAAAAATTATAACAATAATAAGAATTTTGATAATATGAATAAGAAAAAATAATGATACTGATAATAGCAATAATAATAATAATGAAAGCATTAATGATAATGATAATAAAGTGAATGATATTGATAATAATGATGATGATAATAAAACATTAATAAGATATTATTATTGATACTATTGTCATTATTATTATTATTATTATATACTAATAATCATCATTATAATGATCATAATGACAATAACAATGGCAATGATAAAAGGAATATGAATGATAACAATTTTGAAAATAATTATCATTGTTATCATTATCATTACCATCATTATTATAATTACTATCCTTATTATTATCATTAGTATTATTATCATTATAGTTATTATTGTCATTGTTATCATCATCTTTATCATTATTGTTATCATAAAAAATATTATTATAATAAAAGTAATAACAATAATAATGATATTACTAAATATAATGATTATGATAATAACAACGATAATGATAATAATAATGATGATAATGATAATGACAATAGTAATAATGATAATAGTAATGATAATTATAAAAATAATAATGTTAATAATATTAATAACAATAATGATAATGATAACGATAATAATGATGATGATGATAATAATGATAATGATAATAACGATAATGACTAACAGTAATGATAATAATAAAACAATAATAATAATAATAATTATTATTATTATTATTATCATTATTATTATTATTATGATATTAATAGCAATAATAAGAAGAAAATTAGTAATAACAATAATAATGATGATGATGATCATAATGATTCTTATTAATATTATGATTAGAATGATACTAATGATAATGAAAATACTACTACTAATAATAACAACAATAATAATGAAAATGATAATAATAATGATAATAATAATTATGACAATAATGGTAATAATGATAATAATAATTATGACAATAATGATAATCATCATCATCCTCATCATCATCATCATCATCATCATCATCATCATCATCATCATCATCATCATCATCATCATCATCATCATCATAATAATAATAATAATAACATTAAATAATAATAACATTAAGAAGAAGAAGAAGAAGAAAAAGAAGAAATAGCAAATTTCATTTTTGTCAATATCATGATTATTTTTTATGTTTATTAACAATAATGAATATATCAATGTTAATAATGATAAATAAATTATAACAATTACCATTACCTTAATGAAGATTACACTCATCATTATTTTCATAATTTTTATTATAGTTGTTATTGATATCATCATCGTTGATACAATGTTACCTTTATCATTATCATAATAGCCATCATTATTACTAATATTATTTATATAATCATTAACATCATTATTATCATTATTACGATTTCTCTCATAACTATTATCATAATTATTCTCATTACTGTACTTACACTGTTACTTTTATTTTTATCTTCCTTATAATTATGATAAAGGTAATAATGATAATGACAAATATAGAAATGATATTGACAAAAATAATTCCAATAATAATAACGAACGGTGATGAAAAAATAATAAGAAATATAAAACAATAATGTTGATAACAATTGATATTGATACTACTGCAAGTACTGCTGCTGCTGATGATAATAATGATAATGATAATAATAACAGCAATGATGATGGTGATGATCATAATAATGATAATAATAATAATAATGATAATAATAATAATAATAATAATAATAATAATAACAATAATAATAATATTGATAATGATGATGATGATGACAGTAATCATAATAATGATGATAAAAATAGTAATAATAATAATAATACGATATTAATAATAATAACAATAATAACAATTGTAATAGTAATAGTAAAAATAATGATAATAATAATAATATTAATAATAATAATAATAATAATGATAATAATAATAATAATAATGGTAATAATAATAATAATGATAATAATAATAATAACAATAATAATGATAATAACAACAATAACAATAATTGTAATAATGAAACATAATAATGATAATAAAAACAAAAGCTAATGATAACAATAACGATAAATAAATAACAATAGTAACAACAATAATGATACTATTATCATTAATAAGAAATATAATTAAGTGCTAAGAATAAGAATAACAACGTCAGTGGAATATCAATAATGATAACAATAACAACAATAATATAATTTTTATGATAATGCAAGGGCAATGTAATAAAAATAGTAGCGATAATAATGATGATATCAATAATGATAACCATGATAATCATAATCATATTAATAAATAGAATAATTATGATAATTGATTGATAATAATATGATGATGATGATAATAATAAGGATGATGATGATGATGAAAATGAAAATAATAATTATAATAGATATCAATATTATCATTATTTTCCTAATCATTATTACTAGTATTAGTTATCATTTTTTCTAACATTGTTATCATTATTATTATCATTGTTGTTATTATCGTTATCATTACTCTTATTACTATTAATTTCAATTAATATTATTATTATTATCATTATCTTTTTTACTATGATTATTAGTACTATTTTATTAGTAGTATAATTTTTTGTATTGCTATCATTTTGATTATAATCATTATCATTTTTGTTAGCATCAATATTACCATTATCATTATCCTCATCATTAGCATTGCTATTATCATAATCATTGCTATTGTAATTATTATTATTAAAATGAATGTAATGGGGGTAATGATCACGGAAACGACGGTATTAGTAATGGCAAAATGTTATTAAGTGATCATAATAACGTTGATGCAGATGTTGTTGGCAAGGAAAAGAAAGATTATTATTACCATCATTGTAATTACCATTAGCACTACTTTTGCTATTTTAGTATCATAATCCCTATTATCATTCTTCTTATTGTCATTGTTTTATTGCTTTTCTTTTGTCGCCGATATTATCAGTATATTTCTTTAATTATTATTCTAAACTTTAATTGTTGCTACATATCATTAGGTCTTTTATTGTGTCATTGTAGTTGTTATATTTTCCAGAATTATCACGAACAGTATTCTTGCACGTCAACCATTTTCACCATTTTTATTGTATCTATCACTGTTATCATTGTTATCATTTGTATTCTCACATCATATCAGAAAAGGACAGTGAAAGGTGAAGGGACAGAGGCAAATATCTTATCAGTTAACACCGACAGGCAACTTATTCTAACAATGCTTGGACTGAAGGTACTCACTGGATAAGTTATTTGGTTGCTTCGAATGTTGAGTGTTTTGATGGTGTTCTGCTCAGCGAAGCCCCCCATGGAGTAGAAGGTGGTGACGAGGCTCCAGCTGGTGATGAAGTTGTTGTCGAGATGGAGGACCTCGAGTCCAGATACCCTGTTGAGGTTCCTGCCGTCGAAGACCTTGAGCATGCCGTTGGAGAAGTAGAGCGCCTTGAGGGACCTCGGGAGCGGGTCGAGGTTGGTCACCTGCACAATGGACGTCCCGCTGAAGTGCAGCGTTTCGATGTTCCTCGCGTGCTCGAACTCGGGGATGGACGTCATGTTGGCTCCGGTGCACATGACCTTCTTCTTCTGCCTCTCCGTGTAGTGGCATCCGTCAGGAAGGAGGCTGTCGAGGAGCTCTTCGTCAGGTTGGTCATCGGGGCTGAGGTTTGCTTCCATCGACCTAGAAAACTCCTCGAAGGCATCTGGGAAGACTACGTCAGGTGGCGCCGATCTGAACTCGCACCTGTTCTTCGCATGTGACGAACGGGTCTCGTTTTTGGCAGTATCACCCTTTTCCTCCTTTATTCTTCCCTTTCCTGTTGAAGGAAACGTGGGGTCTTCTGAGACCAAAGCGGATTCTTCTGATTTCTGAAAACTCTTAGTCGAGGAAAGGAAAGGGACTTGGTTCTTACTGGCTTCTTTTCTCTCTTGAGTCTTAGTCTTTGTTGTCAGGACCTCGTCAGTCATGGCGCTAGAGGTCAGCCTTTCTCCATTTTTGACCAATTCCTCCGTAGCTCTTTTCTCCGCTGCGTACCCATTGCCCCCCGCCTGACTGACATATGACACAGCATCGTTGTCGTATCTACCGTTTTCCGTCACTTTCACGTTCAAGGATAAGTCCAGCGTCCGCGGCACTTCTCCAACCGTTGCTTCCCCATGGCGTTCGTCAGACCCTTTGGAATCGGAAGGCCCTAAAAAATCGTTCTGAGACACCGGGGACTTGACCCTCCTGAGGCTGCTGTGAGGGAATCCCGACGCGCCCCTGATCGCCGCCCCGAGCGAGAGGGAGACGAGGACAACCAAGAGGCCGAACACCAGGGCAGTGAGTCTTGATACGAGCATGACGACCCGCAACACTTGGATGGTTATCTCACAGCCATGCAAGGATCTCTGGCTTCCTTGTATTACTTTTTGTGCAAATTATCAAGACTTGAATATCTCTCAATCTCCGAAATGTGTGAAATGTAACCACCCCATCCCTGGTTCCGCGTCTAGCATGCTTCCTTATGGCTTTGGCTTCATTATGAAACAATGGCGGAGTTAAGTAACCAAAAAAACAACAAAAAAAGTGAAATGTTTACTGTTTATCGTTCCGAGTTATCAGCACTCGTTACTTATCAGCTACTATCATCGACTAGTTATCACAAACCAGATGGACCTGTCATCTGTGACGAGCTTGTCAGGTTCGGGTTGGGTGATGGGGTTAATTTGAACCTTATCTGTGGCTGTCTATTTAGGGGAACGAAGCACGAGAATCACATAGCATTTAAATGAGCAGTTTGTGGGTTATTTTAGCATATGACAAAACTGATGTAAAGTATGCTTAATAACCTAATATTCGCACTGATGTCTCTAGAGTAAGGTATCGCACTGTGTTTATATCACAAAATGTCAGTCATAGACGCATTTGAATTTATCCTCAGAAATATTGGAAGTCCTTTGGCTTGTATTTCAGTGTCACATTGTTTTTTGTTGTTGTTTTCGTGATGAACTAATATTTTGTCTCTCTAAGAACCGAGGACATAACAGGAAAATCAACCGTACAGGCTAACAAAGCCGCCTTAGCGAATTCGTACGACCCAGCTTCCACGCGCCGTCGCTCAAGTCCAGGGAGGGAGTCCGACGAAGGAGTCCAGGAAGGCCCTCAGCGCGGAACCTCACGAGTCATCGAAGGGCAGGCAGCGCGCGTGTAGATGCACTCCACGCGAAGCACGAGTCACGATGGACACTGGCGCAGCGAACTCCCGCAGAGGTGAGGCCGGCACTGATAATGAAAGGGCTTATCTCTTGAAACATATCCTTATCTGTGTATTGGTTATGTGCATGGGAGGCAGCGCAGCGTCGCGGCCAGGACTACTGCCAGGGGGGGAAAGGGGGAGGGGGGGGGGCGATAAACATTTTTTTTCTCTCTCTTCATTTTATCTTGTTTTCTGCCTCTGCTTTAACTTTATCTCTAATTCTGTGTGATGAAATAATACCCATTTTAGACCGTGTTCAGGAGTTCTGTAGCATATTTTCCCACTGTTTTTCACGCATTGCTCTCCTCCAGCAAATCTGATAATCCCACTAAGCTCATCAAGATAGTACAGTATGACTAATTCCCTAAGATACAATTAGGACGAACGTAAGAAGAATAGAAAACGAACCGCACAACACATTCGTTCACGTCTACAAAATTTTCGGAATCCCTGCAAGTTCTACACTGCAAACCGTAGGCCTACATCAGTCTCCCATAACCCCTCTCGTCAACCCAACGCCGCCTTATTTGGTTGCTTCTCGAAGGGGAAAAAAATGTGACCGTACGAATGAGTATGAATTCGGCTCATGAAATACGTTAATGATGTAAAATATACGTTCTACGAAACGGTTACTGACGTAAAGGAAAAAATACGTTTTATGAAGCAGACTCTGTGTAGAAGGAATTCACAGAAAGAACAAAACGTACTCCGTTAAGTAAACTCTTTGACCTCTTATGTAACTTTCTGCCGTGTTATCCGTATCTCCATAATTAATTGGGATATGCAGATATGAATCATTTCTGGCTTATATAGTTTATTCAGATAAGTCTGTTTGAAAAATGAATTTAACCTTAATATAGATTTCAACAATACCATCACATTCTCAGTCTCATTTCTAGACCATTAAGGCTAAAATAATAATAATAATAAAATAAAAAATAAAATATTTGGGACGGTTCTAGAAATCTTACTGAAACAATTACTTCATGCTGCCTTTGATGTCACATGGCCAGTGAAAACAGTTTACTCGTGACTTCAACACTTAACAAGGAAACATATTTATGGATTCAGTGTCAGCTATTTAAGGATGCCGTTTGTTACCAGGTGGCAACACACTGCGAAATCAGCTGTCTTTGATAAACATGGCAATGGATACGAAGAGTACATACAGTACTTGTATGTCATAAGAAAAAAGTGTCTCTCTCTCTCTCTCTCTCTCTCTCTCTCTCTCTCTCTCTCTCTCTCTCTCTCTCTCTCTCTCTCTCTCTCTCTCTCTGTGCGTGTGTGTGTGTGTGTGTGTGTGTGTGTGTGTGTGTGTGTGTGTGTGTGTGTGTGTGTGTGTGGTGTGTGGTGTGGTGTGTGTGGTGTGTGTGTGTGTGTGTGTGTGTGTGTGTGTGTGTGTGTGTGTGTGTGTGTGTGTGTGTGTGTGTGTGTGTGTGTGTGTGTTGTGTGTGCGTGCGTGCTTTTGAGTTTATAGATAGACTATATATATAGATAAACAGATGGACATGTAGACAGACAAAGAGATGCACTGAAAGACACCCAAGTAAATACACGGATAGATTGACAAATAGATACGGGGATAGACAGACAGACCAGACGTCATAAATCCAAGGAAGAAGCCCCACCACTCGGCGTGTGAACTGCGACTCTCCATTGGCTGCGAAACAATGAATAGCAGTGGATAGTATAAAAAAAAAAATTCTCTTTGTTTGTTTGTTTATTTGTTCGTGTATTTGTTTGTTTATCTTTTTCATTTTTTGTTTATTTGTTTATCTATTTATTTGTCATTTAGTCACACACGAACGCACACGCACATTTGGGATTAAAAATAAAGTTTGTGATTCTGTGGCATCTTTCCGCCAATAAACACATTTTGCTAATTAGAACTCCATAGCAGGAGCTAAACCTTGCAACATTGTTTTTATCATATCTTATCTCAGTTCCACCCTATAACATTACGTATGTAGGACAAAAAAAATGATTAACTGGGACCGAGGCGGAAAAAGCGGGAAAAAAATAACAAATAAGTTACCAAACGTATTTTTGTTTGCCCTTTTCTGTCTTATTTACAATTTTGCTTTGTTTTTTTTCTATTAAATATTTTATATTTGTTGTCCATACGCTTGCAATGCTTTACGGAACAGCCTTGTTTTAGCGTTTATTAGATAACTGCATTGTTTTGAGATCTCAGGACACGGATTTTCCACCACAGAAAACGGGACGCGCCCTAATATGGCTGTACCGCATCTGCGCAACAAAATTCACAACACGATAATATAGAACATGTTATGTGATGCTATTCCCAATTCCGTCAAGATGACTGTGATCTGTGCAATGTCTAGGAACTTCAATAATATTACTTCAATAATATTTCACCGTCTGTCAAGTCAAGAAAGATGGAGTACTTCCTGTTATTTTTCCTGAATTTGCCTCTTGCTCTTTGATAAGATATAACGGTACATATAATGGAGGTGGTAAGTGGTAAAAGTTTCCGTATATGATTATTAAGAAGAAAACGGAAGAATCCATGGTGTGAGATATGTATAAATGAAAATTGTTTCATAATGATAACAAACAATCTGCGTAACCTGATATTTTTCGCATTGTTGTTGTTTTTTTTTTCATTTTTTTTTCTTTTTTAGTATCATTACGTAAATAATATACACGCAAGCAAGAACTGTTATCTTCCTAACCCTTAATACCTTGATAATTCCCAAGTTTAACGGGCGATCTACTGATAACGGCTTAACGAGACAAATCTCTCGCCATAGTTATCTATCCTGAACATTTTTTTTTTCTTTTCAAAATAATGACAGGATTTCCAAAAGCCATCGAGCGAAACTCCAAGAATTAAAACTTTCATTCTGTTCTTAAGAGGAAATTCTTGGTTCGCTGTTCCGTTTCCATTGATAAAGAGTGACGTATTCCTTTCCCTTATCCAAGGAATATATAGTATATAATGGATGGATATCTTGTCCTTATCGCTCTCTGACGTCATCGCCATTGACGTCGGAAATTTTTCATTCATTTTGGGTGATTGATCGTAGTATTCAGGGGATATAGGCGTGTTAACGTTTGGATCAGGAGGATTTTTACTATCTCTCTCTCTCTCTTCTTCTCCCTCTCTCTCTCTCTCTCTCGCTTTCTCTCTCTCTCTCTTCTCTCTCTCTCTCTCTCTCTCTCTCTCTCTCTCTCTCTCTCTCTCTCTCTCTCTCTCTCTCTCTCTCTCTCTTCCTCGCTCTCTCTCTCTCTCTCTCTCTCTCTCTCTTTTCGCTCTCTCTCTCTCTCTCTCCACACACAACATACATACACACAGTTCTAATTGTAGCAAACCAAAGCTTAAATACTAATCATAACCGCTTATTGCACGCGTGGGTGTGATCTAGTCGTCCCTCGCATCATACACATCAGACATACATGCATGTTCAGACCACGTGGTCAGACCCAGGCCATTGACTCATGCCACGTGGTCAGACCCAGGCCATTGACTCATCATCAGACCCAGGCCATTGGACTCTTTGGTCAGAACCAGGCCATTGATGCCACGAGGTCAGACCCAGGCCCACTTGACTCATGCCACGTGGTCAGACCAGGCCATTGACTCATGCCACGTGGTCAGACCAGGCCATTGACTCATGCCACGGGTCAGACCCAGGCCATTGACTCATGCCACGTGGTCAGAACCCAGGCCGCCATTGACTCATTGCCACTCAGACCCAGGCCAATTGACCTCATGCCACGTGGTCAGACCCAGGCCATTGACTCTGCCACGTGGTCAGACCCCAGGCCATTTGACTCTTGCCACGTGGTCAGACCAGGCCATTGACTTTGCCAACGGGTCAGACCAGGCCATTGATCATTGCCACGTGGTCAGACCCAGGCCATTGGACTCATTGCCACGTGGTCAGACCCAGGCCCATTGACTCATGCCACGAGGTTCAGACCCAGGCCACTGATCATGCCACGTGTCAGGCAGGCCATTGACTCATGCCACGTGGTCAGACCCAGGCCATTGACTCATGCCACGTGGTCAGACCAGGCCATTGACTCTTGCCACGTGGTCAGACCCAGGCCATTGACCATGCCACGAGGTCAGACCCAGGCCACTGACTCATGCCACGTGGTCAGACCCAGGCCATTGACTCATGCACCGCAGGCCATTTGACTCATGCCACGTGGGTCAGACCAGGCCATTGGACTCTTGCCACGTGGTCAGACCCCAGGCCATTGACTTCATGCCACGTGGTCAGACCCAGGCCATTGACTCATGCCACGTGGTCATGACTCAACCAGACCAGGCCTGACACTTGCCACGATGTCAGACCCAGGCCACTCTTGCCACGTGGTCAGACCCAAGGCCATTGACTCTTGCCACGTGGTCAGACCCAGGCCATTGACTCTTGCCACGTGGTCGACCCAGGCCATTGACTCATGCCACGAGGTCAGACCCAGGCCATTGACTCATGCCACGGTGGTCAGACCCAGGCCATTGACCTCATGCCATAGTCAGAGTCAGACCCAGCCATTGCCATCTCATCATGCCAACGTGGTCAGACCCAGGCCATTGACTCTTGCCACGTGGTCAGACCCAGGCCATTGACTCATGCCACTCATTGACACCCCGTTGGCCACGTGGTCAGACCACGTCAGACCCAGGCCATTGACTCATGCCACGTGGTCAGACCCAGGCCATTGACTCATGCCACGTGTCAGACCCAGGCATTGACTCATGCCACGTGGTCAGACCCAGGCCATTGACTCATGCCACGTGGTCAGACCCAGGCCGACTCATGCCACAGACCCAGGCCATTGACTCATGCCACGTGGGTCTCGGTTGGGGTTCTCGTCTTCACACCCCTCTGCCACTTCCTCAAACACTAACCATCCGCCACTAACCATCCGCCGGTTTATTGACCCTCGCCAATAAACCAAAAAAATTAGAATTTGTGAATCATATAATTTATACTTCTCAATGTGCTTATATACATCAACATAGAG